TAAATAAAACATCAAATATTGTGACTCTCCTAATTAAAATTTCAAGAGTTGGCCACACTGGTTTACGTTCAATTTGTGCCTACAGGGTTATTTTCACAACCATGTTGACTAGAAACATAGCTTTCTAAAATCCGAGGTTTGATTCTAAATCACAGTTCTGTGGCAAATTGCTTGGCTGCAGAATACCTAGGGCCCTGACTATAAAGAAGAAAGGCCAGGTAGATAGGTGCTGGGATGGCTTAGAAATGAGCCTTCTCTTAAGCAGCCATTATGTCTGCTGTAAAGGCAAATGAATTCCTTGGTGTCAGTACAGTGCATCTGTACACTAATAGGAGCATCGTTCTTTTATATTCATCCAGCTGGATGACTAACTTAAGTCCCATTAGAAAGCAAATGTGTGACTCACTCACTGCACCAGCTGAACACTGCCTCATGGTGATAATGGAGCGTTCTTGTATCCAGAGAATCTACAAACAGTGTTGGTGCAAAGTAGTGATATCACGGAGGTGCATAATTTTGTATATTCTTTCACAAAGGGACTTATAAGCAATCCTTTATTTGAAATTCTTATATTACTGCTCTGTAGCCTATTACAGTGCTTCTTTGTGAACAGCACTTCCCTACGCACAGCGCTGTTCGTGACACACACTCATCCTTGCAACAGAGGATGCTGACTTTCAGAATGAACACCTTGTTTCTGCCCCTCTGCTTTCCATTGTATTCCTTTATTTAAGTTGAACGCCTTGCCGGGGGCCCTAGCTGCTGTTTAATTCATGATGGTGGGTAGAGTGATGACATTAGTGCTGATACAAGATCTCGCTGTACTGGCAAGCTCCCAGATAACTCATACAGTGACCTTTTCTGCTCAGACTTCTTTTATTTTCCTTTCTTCAGAGGGAGACATTGCTACGGCAGCTGGAGACGAATCAGCTAGATATTGACGCAACGTTGGAAGAGCTCTCAGTGCAGCAGGAGACAGAGGACCAAAACTACGAAATGTATGTCCTTGAGCCCTCCTTTCTAACCTTTTTGCTGGAATCTATGTAACTCTTGTCTGTTGGGCAGCACTACACTTTACATCAACCATGGGAGGTCCAATGGATATCATTTAGTATTGGTTTGGATATTTCATTTCTCATGTAAAATAGGAGATTCTCCAATGCAAAGTTTGTTCTTTGGATTCCCTTCAGACATGTGACTTATGGGAGGGGAGAGAAATGGAGGTGGAGCTGGGTACAATGAAATGGCAGAGCGCTAATGAGGCACATGCTACAAGGATTATAGAGGAGTATGTCACAGCCTCTAATGGTGGAAGGGAATGCTCTCTAGTGCACTCTAGTGCTTCAGCAGGGAAACAGGGTCACATTCTTTTGGCTGTAGTCTTGTTGTACGTGTCTTCTGGCTAATCACTTTTGCTCTCATTTAGTCTTTGAGACACTAGGATATTTTTTGTTGATCTCTTCAGAAGTTCTAGAAGCTTATTAAAATGTGATCCTATTTCAGAGTGTGCGTCCTGTGTATTCAGTGTCATATCCACTTAATTCCCTGCTTGGAGTGAGTTTCTACTCCTGTTAGCCTTGTAGAGCCAGTACAGCTCTGGGGCATGAGTTGGATTCTGTTCAAACTTGGATGTATCAACAGTTGTGTTCAAAACTTCCAATTGCAGGGTATTTATTGTGGTAATGTGCAAGCCAGACAGAACACAGCTTGGCTTTCAGGTTCTGGAATGAATTTGAAGCACTGGTAGTCAGAAAAAATCTCTTGTAAAACAAGCAGATTTATTTGGTAATCATGGAAACCATAACTACCCTCCACCATGCCATTTTACAGTTCCTTTTCAAAATAGAATCAAGCTTTAAGTTCCATAACCTTGGTCAGTGTTTTTTGTTTTTGTTCGTAAAGCACCTTGAGTCACTTAACTAAAAGGCAACCATATACATATAAAACAGTATTATTTCCCAAATACTGCATTCCTATCGCTATAGGAAAAACCAGTGATGCTGAATGAGACCCACTTAGCCACCACAAATATTGTTTTCTTCTGGGCAGAAGCTATAGTATTGTCCATGCTCAAAGGACTTATTTGTGGTGTCTGCGCTACCAGTTCCTTCCCTGTGATTTTTTGGGTCTGTGTACTCTGTCCATGCCTGGTGTCCGTCTAGAGGGAGCAAGCATCCTGCTGTATTTTAGAACTGGTGTGCTTCCAGGGCCAGAGAGAGTACTCTGGTGTCATGGCAACAGGAGCTGTAGGGATATTGCCTTTCACTGAAGATTATTATTAATTATTTGTGTTGTGGTAGCACCTAAAAGCCTTGGCCACAGACCAGGTTCCCATTGTATTGGGTGCTGTACAGACAGAACAAAAAGATGATCCTTGCTCCAAAGAGCTGCCAGTTTTGTTTACAATCTTCTAATCTCTTGTGGTAGGAAGTTGAAAAAACACTTCAGTAGAAGCCACAGACACTTGCAGAAACTCCATGAATCTAGACAACCACTCAGTCTGTGTATCAACACCTTTACCATTCCCTTTTCCAAACAGTTGGCAGCCACTGAAAATACAGAGGTTCTTTCTTTGCTCGGTATCTTGAACGTTTGTAATCAGTAATGCTGCCTGGCCAGGTAGAATAACTGCACTCGGGTGGTATGGGGTGCCGTGCTGATGAGACAGTGCTGCCTCTCAACAGCCAAGAAGGGCCCACGCTGCAGGTGACTGACTGACTACCCTTGCCTGTGTAATTATACTTAACGTGACTTTGAAATGTTTTACCCAATAATTGGGACTGCCCAGCAGGGTTTTTTTGGTAGTTCCTTATGTGAATAAAAACAGATACTAGATAATGTTTTCACCCCTCAGCTCTTACTATGATTCTGGATTAGCAAGTAAATAATCAAATTTTATATGTAGCTAGCCAAACTCTGCCCTCATTGATATGGGTATAAATCCAGAGTAACCCCAGTTACCCAGTGAAGGGTAACAAGAAGGGTTTCTACAGGTATGTTAGCAACAAGAAAAAGGTCAGGGAAAGTGTAGGAGCCTTAATGAATGGGGGAGGCAACCTAGCGACAGATGATGTGGAAAAAGCTGAAGAATTTAAAGCTTTTTTTTTTTTTTTTTTTTTTTGCCTCGGTCTTCACAGAGAAGGTCAGCTCCCACACTGCTGTCCTAGTCAGCGCAGTATGGGGAGGAGGTGAGCAGCCCTCAGTGGTGAAAGAACAGGTTAAGGACTATTTAGAAAAGCTGGGCATGCACAAGTCCATGGGTCCAGATCTAATGCATCCAAAGATGCTGAGGGAATTGGCTGATGTGATTGCAAACCCATTGGCCATTATCTTTGAAAACTCGTGGTGATCGGGATAGGTACCGAACAATTGGAAAAGAGCAAATATAGTGCCCATCTTTAAAAAAGGGAAGGAGGAGAACCCGGGGAACTACAGCCTCACCTCAGTCCCTGGAAAAATCAAGGAGCAGGTTCTCAAGGAAACCATTTTGAAGCACTTGGAGGTGCTCGGGAACAGTCAACATGGATTCACCAAGGGCAAGTAATGCCTGGACCAACCTGATTGCCTTCTATGAGGAGATAACTGGCTCTGTGGATATGGGGAAAGCAGTGGACGTGATATATCCTGACTTTAGCAAAGCTTTTGATATGGTCTCCCACAGTATTCTTGCTAACAAGTTAAAAAAGTATGGATTGGATGAATGGACTATAAGGTGGAGAGAGAGCTGGCTAGATTGTCGGGATCAATGGGTGGTGATCAACGGCTCAATGTCTAGTTGGCAGCTGGTATCAAACGGAGTACCCCAGGGGTTGGTCCTGGGGCCAGTTTTGTTCAGCATCTTTATTAAAGATTTGGATGATGGGATGGATTGCAGATGACACTAAGGTGGGGGGAGAGGAAGAGACACTGGAGGGTAGGGATAGGGTCCGGAGTGACCTAGACAAACTGGAGGATTGGGCCAAAAGAAATCTGATGAGGTTCAACAAGGACAAGTGCCGAGTCCTGCACTTAGGACGAAAGAATCCCATGCACCGCTACAGGCTGGGAACCAACTGGCTAAGCAGCAGTTCTGCAGAAAAGGACCTGGAGATTACAGTGGATGGGAAGCTGGATATGAGTCAGCAGTGTGCCCTTGTTGCTAAGAAGGCTAACGACATATTGAGCTGCATTAGTAGGAGCATTGCCAGCAGATCAAGGGAAGTGATTATTCCCCTCTATTCGGCATTGGTGAGGCCACATCTGGAGTACTGTGTCCAGTTTTGGGCCCCACACTACAGAAGGGATGTGGACAAATTGGAGAGAGTCCAGCGGAGGACAACGAAAATGATCAGGGGGCTGGGGCACATGACTTATGAGGAGAGGCTGAGGGAACTGGGCTTGTTTAGTCTGCAGAAGAGACAAGTGAGGGGTGATTTGATAGCAGCCTTCAACTACCTGAAGGAGGGTTCCAAAGAGGATGGAGCTCGGCTGTTCTCAGTGGTGGCAAATGACAGAACAAGGAGCAATGGTCTCAAGTTGCAGTGGGAGAAGTCTAGGTTGGATATTAGGAAACACTATTTCATTAGGAGGGTGGTGAAGCACTGGAATTGGTTCCCTAAGGAGGTGGTCGAATCTCCATCCTTAGAGGTTTTTAAGGCCTGGCTTGACAAAGCCCTGGCTGGGATGATTTAGTTGGGGGTTGGTCCTGCTTTGAACTGGGGGTTGGACTAGATGACCTCCTGAGGTCCCTTCCAACCGTCAGAGGGGTGAAATTCTGTAACAGCCTTCCGAGGGAAACGGTGGGGGCGAAAGACCTCTCTGGCTTCAAGATTAGGCTAGATAAATTTATGGAGGGAATGGTTTGATGGGATAACGTGATTTTAGTCAATTAGGCAATAACGTGCCATCGCTGGTAAAATGTGGGTCCGGCTGGAGAATCTTGCCTGTATGCTCGGGGTTCTACTGATCGCCATATTTGGGGTCGGGAAGGAATTTTCCTCCAGGGTAGATTGGCAGAGGCCCTGGAGGTTTTTTGCCTTCCTCCGCAGCATAGGGCAGGGGTCACAAGCTGGAGGATTCTCTGCGACTTGAAGTCTTTAAATCACGATCTGGAGACTTCAACAGCTGAGATAAGCTGACCCACCCAATTTCCCTTTTGTGGCCTGCATCATGCGGGAGGTCAGACTAGATGACCACAATGGTCCCTTCTGACCTTAAAGTCTATGAGTCTATGAACCCTAATCTTCTATGATTCTATGACTTCAGGTACTCTAGATTTTCACCTATGTGCTGGAAGCAGGATTTAGCCCAGCACCCTTTGCTTTGGGAAAATGCTCTTTCTTTTAAATCAGGGTTTTGAAAATGTCCCTGATTGCTGCTGGTTAGAGATGCTGAGCCACCGATCCCAAAGTGCAAACAACATGGCAGCCCTTGCCTGAATGCTTCTTCCCCACTAATAAAAGTGCAGCAATATTTTTGGATTTGTCTGGGCTTTCTCTGTGCTCTAGCTGGGACACTGAGAGCCCTGGTGCTAAATCTCTTGTTGCATCAGTGGTCCATGTGGTGGTGGTACAGGAAGAGCCCCAGTACCTTCAAACCTAGGGACATAAACTTCTCCTAAAACGACTGCATGGAGCCCCACAGGCTGATTTCTGTTAACATGCTCTCAGGAGCTGCTTACTCTCTCTACAGTATCGGGAGCTGGAGTAATTTATCCTGAGTTCTCTATCAGATAAATATGACCAGTTTTGCATGGTAAGGACTCTTGGCCAATCAGATTGTGCTCCATTCTAAATCATTTTATAATAAAATTCTTTCAAGAATAGCTAATTTTTGCTGTGTATAGTTCCTAACTTCCCCTGCATGTGAACATATGCATTTGTAAGGTGGGAAAACTGAACTGGTCAGTACTGCTCAATGATGTGGCTCCTAGGGATCCTTACAGAATCTCATTCAGTAGATCTCCTCTTGCTGTGGGATTATCACGTTTGGCACATTTCCACTAATCTGTTTTGTTAAA